CATGCACCCTTCCAATGCTAGAAAACACACATGGACTTCTAGAGACAGAGGCATGCGCCCTTCCAATGCTAGAAAATGGATGTATTAAGTCAGTAAAATAGACTGTCCATTTACATTTAGTGAATCCCGAATTGAGACAGTGTTTCTCTATGTATCCCTGGCTGACCTGGCACTCACTCTGTAGACCAGGCTGGCCTTGAACTCAGAACTCTGCCTGCCTCTCCTTCCTGAGTGCAGGGATTAAAGCCATGGGCCACCACCACCACCCTAAATCCGAACTTCTAATTAGAATGTGATTAAAGAGACCCTCCGTTCCACCTCACCTTTGGGTTTAATCTTGTATAAGATGTGTGTCTTCAAAATACATAAAACTTCCTTTGATGTTTCAAAATAATGTTCTAGATAATAATAAGCCTTATTTCTATATTGATAGTCATTGTGAATAAATTTCATATAAATATTCTGTAAGAAATTTAGGTTTTACTAGTCAATATAATATTCAAAGAATAACTCAGGTATCAGTCATTCATCTACCTATCTTCTCCTTTTCTTCTTTTCTTTTCTTTTTTTTTTTTTTTCCCTTCGAGACAGGTTCATTAATCATGTCTGGATCTCACGATATATTTTAACCTGGCTGGCCAGCAAGCAACAAGGATACACTTGTTTCTGCTTTGTCAGAGCTAAGATTACTAAAACGTGCTACCAAATCTGGAGTTTGTTTCTTTTCACATGGGCTTAAGGGACCAAAATCATGTCCGCCTGCTTACAGAGCAAGAGCTTTCCCCCTGACCTAACACTTCAGCCCTGCTTGCTCTTTTTATACAGCCCAGGCTGGCCTGGAACTCACTATATAGTCCAAACTGTTCTCAAACTAGAGATCCTCCTGCCAATTCCACCTGATTGTTGAGATTATAGATGTGTGCCACAAACCTAGCTGTAAAGCAGATATTATAGAGTCAGAACCATAGTTTGGAACAAGCTGAAAAGCTTTCCCATGCTGAAGTATCTGAAGGGTCTTCCATACTTGCATCTGCAGGCCGAAGATGGTCCGAATCACAAGTAAAGAATGTCTGGTGATCCTGGGCGGAGAGGTTCATGTCATAGTACGTCAGGGGCTCTCGTCCTGTGACCCAAGTGTACCTGTCAAGGGCACATGTGACGGGCAGACAGTTTTGAGAGAGAAAAAAGACCTATAAAAGAAGAACCTGCAGAACCAAACCACTATTGAGCATTAAAATAACTTGGCTCATGAACATCAAAGCAATTTTTAAAAGCATCCTGCTCAGTGCTGGAGAGATGGTTCAGTGTTTAAGAGCTCTGACTGCTCTTCCACAGACACTTACTGGATTCCCAGCAGCTGCTTGACAAATAACAATGGCGTATAACTCCAGTTCCAAGGGTATCCAATGCCCTCCTCTAGCTTCCCTTGGTATTGCATGTACACAGTACACAGATACATATGTACACAGGGAAACTATCAGTACACATAAAATAAAAATAAATCTCAAAAAAAGCCATCCTGTTCTTCCTTCAGGAATTATATAGCATAAAATAAATACATGTTTTCTCTTCTGTCTTTGTCTCAACATTTTAGTAGCTCCCACTAATGAAAAACTTTCCTAGTTAATATTACAAATAGACCTTTCCAAACTATGAAGTTTTTAATTTGCCTAATTACTTCATTCAATTAATTTACAATATAAACTTCTCTGGAATCCACATAACCAAGTTCCACGGAACCTTCAGAATTGGGGGGGCTGTAAAATATATATGGAAAAGAGTAACTGCAATAGAAGACCAATGAGGGCAAATGGGGGCACCTGCAACTAAGCCTGAAAACCGAAGTTCACCAACTAGAACCCACACAGTGTCAGGGGAGAACCCCCACAAGTTGTTCTCAGAGTACGACATACAACATACACACATACATACATATATAGTAAGAAATTTTTTCAAAGAATTAGGGCCATAGAAAAATTTACAACCTATAGTTTTATATATTCATCCCAACTAAAAGGTCAAAATATCTATAAAACAGAAAAATCAAAACATTTAAAGATAGCATCCCCCAAAATGGAAACTGTTGGACTCGGTGACATGCTGCAGTCCCAACACTCACTTGTGAGGCAAAGGGATCAAGACCAAAGGTACAGAGCCACACAAGTTATGGATTATGAAACCCTTGCCTCAAACAAAAGCAAAAAAAAAAATTTAAAGGGGTAGGAGAGGAAGAAAGAGAAGGAGAAGAGATGGAAAAGTATGGGGGGGGATAGGGAATGGAAAGAGAGAAAAGAGGAAAGAGGGGAAGGAGGGTAGAGGAGAGGTAAGGCACACTATTACATGACCCCTAAATGAACCAGCAATAACACTTGCTATTTTTGCTCTCTAAACCATTCATTTATTTCCTGAGCTGACAAAAGACTCACCGATTGTATTCAGCACCCCTAAACAAATTTAGTGGATTTCGCCATACTTTGCACTCTGTAACAAAGAGAAATACGAAAATGACACATAAGTCCATTGATATTAGCTACTAATTAATTCAGTAAAACACCCTTCCTGGCCATTTGATAAGATAATTTTATTCTCTATCCTTTACACAGGAAACTGGAAAACAAAATGCAACCCTTGAGATTAATCAGGTACTTGAGGCTAATCAGGCACTGGGGCAGAGGAAATGTCACCTAATCTCTAGGCCCAAGTTTCCTCAGTTTTCAAGTCATAGTACATGCCAATGTCAGCTACTGTGCAGCTTTTTGTGGTTGCTTTGAGATATCTGAGCTGATTTTATGAATTAATATCCAGCAATATAGGTCAAAGGTACACGTAGACATGAGACTACTTTTTGTCACTCTAGCATTAATCTCTCAGTGGTATCATCCTTGACAAACTAAAGCTCTGAATCAGAACACAGAAAGCACTAGATTTGGTCGACTAGAGTTGATGCTAGGTTTTATTTGGAGATAATTCACTAGACTGATATCGTTTCTCCAGAAAGGAATAAGAAAATTAATAGTTACAACCAGTGCAGAAAGAAGTTCTATGAAACAAATTATTTTGGAGCATTTCCACATCTTTACTTATGCTGACACATATATGAGCCATCACTCTAACATCACAAGGTTAATTACTAACATTGTTCCTTTTTCTTATACAAGGAACACAGAAACTAAGACCACAGGGCTCCTGCTTAGAGAAGTCCATCAATAGCTTTAAGGTCATGTTGTTTTAAGCATGCGATTAATAAGCTACAATTGTTTTCAAACGTCAATAGGATTAAGATTTTCTTATAACTCATAATACTAAACCTCTTTGGATAAAATACAATTTCATTAGAAAATAAGACTCACTTAACCAGAGTCAAAACATAAGTCCTCAAAGAACACACCCACTGATATGTCCCATCACAACTCTGGCAGAAATCCAATTAAAGGCCAGATGATGATTCATTAGGAGTCTACAAAAGGCCTCCCCATCCAACAGCCATCCTCCACCCATCTCTCCAATACCCATTTACTTTTGACAGTGGAGGAAACATTTAAGCCATTCCTATTAGACTCTGTGTAAAGTTCACAATAAAATGTAAATATAAACAAAAAAAGTAAAACAAAATGGAAAGCACCATTCTCTATGATCACAGTAGTTTGTTGCTGAATTAGTAAAGCAAATACCTACTTATTATGGGATGTATGTTTTCATCTAAAAGATGAATTTATCTTTAAATTAAGCCAGTGTCTCATTTTAAATTTATTCAATGTTTATAATGGCCATAAAATTTTGTCACGTAGCTTAATTTGTCATTTGATACAACACCTTTCAATTCTGTTCTTAATAAACCAAGATTTGATCATTATCACCTCATATGACACTAATAATAAAATTATTTTCCTTTTAGTTAATTATTTGATGTCCAAACAAAAAGCCCATTAACAAGGTCGTGAACACTATGATTCTAGATTTGGGCTTGAAACACACTGGTCAGCCAAATAATCTTGAAGACTACCCTTAGGGCTGCTCTAACTCTAACCTCATCACAGCCAACTGTTCCTCCATTAAACTCTTGGAATTCAGAATGTTCCTCTTGAAGCTTTGTTAATCCTCCAAGGTTTGTAGTTAGCATACAATGAACTTGTATGTGACTTGCATACAAGGATGTTCATGGTGGAAATATTTACAATAAAGTAGAGCATTTGAAAAGATGGTATATACACTCACTTATACATGGATGTTAGTCATGAGTAAGGATAGACATACCACAATGCACAGACCCCAAGATAAGTTCTATGAACACCCACTAGTTAAGGGAGCGGACAATATCTCTGACATAGACTATGTTGCCTGCTTTCTGATCACTTCCCCCTCATGGGACTTCCCTACCAGACCATAGGGGAGGAAGATGAACACAATACTCATGTGAATAGATGAGCTATGGTGTCTGGGTAGAGGAGCTCCTCTATTCTGGGGAGTAGGGGAGAGGGGATGCAGGAAGAAGGGTGGGACTGTGAGGACAGGAGAAAGGAGCCTATGACTGAGATGTAAATTGAATTAGTTGATAAAAAAAATTCTGGCAAATCTTTTTCTCTATTAAGTACATTAGTACAGTACCTGGGATACAAGCATTATTCAAAACACAATTTATAAATTAGAATAAAAAATATCTTCAGTTAAAATTTTACCTCTATTACATCATTTGAAACAAAATATTTCTAGAGAAAACTAACTCCGAAAAGAAATATTGGGTATACTTCAAACAGTCACCAAGTAGTACATAGAGAGCACGTTATTTAGGAATTTCCTTGACATAGCCAGCAGGGGGTGCTGCAAACGTTCTGAAAATGTTTAGTTATCACTTAAGAGAACTAAATCCTTGTTAACTTGTTATTGCAAAACCGTTCTGTATTCACTTTTTAACTATCCCTGAGACTTAGAAATTAGGGTACAATTAACTGCAGCATATGTAAAAGGGATAGAAATTAGGCTACAATTAACTGCAGCATATGTAAAAGTACCAAAGGCAGTTAAGAAGTACAAAGCAAATATCTTCCACGGTTGCATTTTTTTAAATTGAGAGCACAGGGCAGGTAATTTTTCTCTAAGAAATAAGCAATATAAAGGTCGTCTATATGTACACATCAAATCCTTGCCTTAATTGACATAGTTCATATCTGCTGTTCTGTTCTATAATCTTTCCTACAGAAAATTCTTTTGGCATGGAATTAGCCCCAGAGAACACACCCCATAAATAGCAGTTGCTGATGTGGCTTAATGTAACATGGACAATGGTGTAAGTGCCAAACCTGAAGATGCAGAGAAACAGACCTCCACAGGTAAGAGACTTACACATGAATTCTTGTGTGGACTCCTGAGGAATAAACTTAGTTCAGATCAGATTTCAAGTTTCTCCTTCAAAAAGAATGTTCCATTCTTTACTACCTTCCACAGTTTCAGTGCCATTGACAAGCACTAAAAGTCAGCTGGGACTCCATTAAGCGCTAGCTCACATCATTAAGAGTCTACTTATAAATATGTCCCTAATGCAAGCATACTATCTGCGCTTCAGTTTTCAGTGTCCGTAATACAGTCGCCACTCAGCTCTGATGGAAATGTGTGACCTCAGCATGTACAAAAGAATAGCAAAGCTCGAGGGAAAGGGAACCAGCCACCATTAAAACAGCACTTGATATTTCCCAGTCTTCAGAGCACATATGCTTCTTTGTCAAAATGGGACAGTTGTAAGTCTCTGTTTGGGAAACAAAGAACATAAAGCTTAATCCATTAAGGATTTCTAAAGCAAGCTCTAAATGTTTTTAAAGCCTTCCTTTTCCCCAGGTCCTACTAAAATCCTCCATCACTATCATCATTCCTTTGTCCCTTTGGACCCAGTTACTGTGCGGGCTAGTTTTATGTCAACTTGACACAAACTATAGTCATCTGAGAAAATTCCCTCAGAAGATTGGGCTGTAGGCAGACAAGACTGTAGGGCATTTTCTTAATTAGCGGTTGATGAGGGAGGCCCAGCCCCATGTGGGTGGTGACACACCTGGTTCTGAGTGTTCAGATCACACCGCCAGCCTTCAGCGAGCTAGGTAGGCTCTTCACAGCAGCAGAAACAGCAATTTTAATCTTAGTCGTAAGCCTAGCTTTCACAGATCCTTTCTATAAGGAGGCCTAAAGCTTATCATTTACATCCCTTATATAAGTTAGTGAGATGTATATATTGGAGCCCTTCCTCCAGGGCCATCGTAAATGATGTTAAGCCCTCTTGTCCAGACTGAGCTCTTTCAATAGGCAACAAAACAGCACGTTTCAACATCCTGTAACTTCATCAATTAAACTGTCCAATGGATGAACAGATTTCAAGTTTTCTCTAGGGAAATGTCTGTTACTTCAAAATAAGACTTCCAAAGTGTCTGAAGGTTTCACTGGACATGTTGTTGTTATTGTTATTACCACAAGTCTTTGATATGACTTTGTGCTCTTACTAGCTTTGATGTGTCAGAAACGAATACCTAATTTTCTACATCATACTGATCAATTTCAGGCAATTATTAGAGTACTCCTTAAAAAAAATTAAGCCTTAACTACTTAATGGCTTTTCAAAATAACTAGTTCGAGAAAAAGTGATGTAACATCTGACTGTGCTGCTGGGCCTGCTGGCTGCGTGAAAAAGAGCACAACACAAAGGGGAACTGGCTCCAAGCTGGGCAGCAGGGCCTTTGGCTATCACGCTTTTAACCACCTTGCACATGAGACAGAGCCTGGAGCAAAGGCCGCCTGCCCAGATTTGTGGCTGCCAGGAAAGAACCCCAAGGGCTGAAAACACCTAAAGAACTGCGGGCAAGCCACGTGGGTAACAGGCCCTGAGAGGGACAGGCCTGCTCAAACCGCCATGCTGCTCGGCGTTGACGCGTCCAGGCCCACCGCAGCGAGCTCCAGAACATGAACGTGCCAACCTCGGGCCACCGTGCGCCTGTCCCTGCAGAGGGGCCAGCCTGGGCTGGACGCCATGTCCCCACACAGCAGAGGAGGGACGGGCCCGGGAGCCGGACCACAGGCCCATGCCCGCGGCCCAGCCTGCCCAGAAACCAGACAGGAGCCCAGCTTGGGGCAGGAGGACACCCCGAGGGACGCGGCCCCCGCAGCCCCCGCAGCCCCCAGCAGGCGCGGGGGCTCGGCCTGACCTTGCTTGCAGCCCTTGGCGAGCCGGAGGCGCTCGGGCCCGCTCCCCGGCGTCGGCGAGGACTGGGTGGGCGCCATTTTCCACCGCCGCCCAGGTGCACTTCTCCACGGCCGCGCCCGGTTTCCCAGCCAGGCCTGTCTCCTCCGCTCCTCTGCAAGTTTTACCGGTGGGTGACATTTGCCTTCATTTCCGTTCGGATGTCAGTGTCTCGGTGCGGGTAAAAACGATACGCTTGTGTCCTTGAGCAAGCCCCCGGGGGTCTACTGTCTGTGCCTCAGTGGGCTCCACGCTCGCCACAGCC